CAGCATCTTAGCTGTAGAGGGCAGTGTCACTGGCCCTCATATGTGGGATCTGAACCAGGGCCCTCTGGCATCCCAAGCCAGTTCTTAACCAATGCAACACTCGGCTGGCCCTAGCATTATTTTTCTTTAACCTTTAATTCTAATCCACAGATGGGTAGGAAGCCAGCAATCAGATTCTTCTCTTTATAATGCAAGTATAGGTAAATAACTTTTGACTTTCATGCCTTGGGAAAAGAAAACCTAAAACATACAGGTAAAAAGATAACTATTAAAAAGTAACTTTGGATACTAAACAGCTATAGTCATGAAGCAACTAACTTAACCTGATCTGGTGGGGATAGCCTTTAGTCCACTTCTTGGCTAATTTATTTACTTCTGCAATTGTTTGTGACAAACTCCATGATGCCACCTTGTGGACCTTTTTAGTTTTTTTTTTGTTATTGTGACCTCACTGGTTCCCTTCCAACCAAGCAAAACAGAATAAAAGAAAAAAAAATAGTTCTATAGCAATCAGAAGTTTGTTTTATCTCTTGTTTATTTCTTTCATAATGTATGAAATTGGATAATTACCTTTTTTATTTGCTTACTGTTGTCATTATTTTGGTATTACTACTACTATTATTGCTAGGCCCTCTCCATAGGAATCTGAGTTCCACAGAGTAAGGACATTCATAGTATTGTTAACCAATGCATGGTTGTGGCTTGTAGAAAATGATCAACAAATATTTCCTGAACAAATAAATACTTATATAATCAAATTTGTTTATTTAATGGACTTACCTAGGTGGTTCTTGCTTGAGGTCTCTAATGTCATTGGAGTCAGATGGTGATCAGGGCCGGAGTTATCCCAAAGTCTTCCTCACTCCCATATGTGGCTGTTGATTGCCTGGAACCTCAGCAGGGTGGCTGTGTTACAAGAGCAATTTTTCTAAAAGGACCATCTTTCAAACAATACAAGCACATTGGAATACTTTGTCAACATTTAGGACATGATCCACTAATAAATCTAGAACCCAAATCTGTTCTCCCAGGTATCTGAAGCCAATTGCACTCTCTATATCAACACAATCTATCAGGGTCCTTTCCAAATAAACATTGGAACACTGCATAATCAGACTATTCTTCAGATTTATCCTTTGTGCTTCAAATTTTAATGTTCTATTTTAGGAAATATGTAACTGCTATTTAACTAAAAATTTCTAGGCAAAGACATTCAGTAGGCATAATTTCTAAATCTAATTTCAATTCTGACTGAACTTGCTCTCCAGATAGCTTTTTTTCCCCAATTTTTTGTCCAGATATTTTTATTTATTAATAATGAATTTCAGGCTGAAGACACGGAAAGTAATATCCAATTATTACTACTTTATTTCAGTTTATTGTTCGGTGCTGACGTAATTATAGGATGATTTTAATTAATCATTAATTTCTAAGTCACGTGATTTCTGCCTAGCCAGCAATGGAGGTGTGGATCTATAATGCCAACTCCTCTATCATGTATATATGTACACACACACACACACACACACACACACACACACACACACACACACATTTAGAAACACCTACCCATGCACTGCAAACAGATAGAGTACATACACAATATATTTACGGAGATATTTTATGGCATCTATAATCATATATATTTACATATTTTAAATGGAATTGTGTTTCCTTCTCCACAGGAACCTATCACAGCAACAGGATGTCACTTGAGTTTATCAGTCATTCCCTCTAGTGTCATTATCTCTGAGGACTAAGACTCAGGATATATGTCACTAGCGAGTTGCCATACTCAAGCTGAACCCAAAAAATAAGCGGCTTTTTTCACAACTAGAAAGAAAGCCAAAGATTCCCGAATCCAATGTCCTCATTTTACATGTGAGAGCTACTCATAAGCTTCAGGAAAATTTGGGTAAAGTACCAAAATTAAACACTGACAGAGCCAGGACTAGAACCTAGATTTCTCCCAAATGATAAGTCCTCGTTGTCCCGTTTCAGTGTTTCTTCTTCTTTCCAGTATGCCTATTGGAATGTTAACTACTCAACTGTAGTTTTAATTTTCTTAGTATTTCTTGCCTGTTGAGATTTTTACACATTTCTCCTCCTAGAACCAGCACTTAAGGATATTATATTAAGAAAAAAAAATTTTTTTTCCTGGATGCTCCTTTTACAGCAGCAGGAGTGGTCTTATATAAATTCAAAAGTGAGTCTACCGCCCTCTTGTGATTATAATATACAACTGCAACGGTAAAAGTGCAGTTTTTTTAGTTTCATTTACCAAAGGCTCAAGAATAGTTCAATAAACACCGATATTTTCCTCACCTAGAGTATTTTCCTCTAAAAATTATTACAACTTTTCACATGTACTTTACATCTTTCTCTTGCTTTCTATTGTCTTATTTTCTGAACTTTGAAAGTTGCACACATAAATAAATCTAAGAAAATTCAAAATAATTCAATATATATTCTATGATATATTTTATATTCAAATTTTCCTAAAATATCTTTAGACCCTTACCTCCTCAATGCAGGACCTAATCAAGATTTACACTTTGCATTTTGATTATTATCACTGTTAAAAGATAAACTAAGGCATAATAAAAATGCTAAGGGTTTATTTGACAAAAAATTGATTCGAATTGAGCAGCATTCAATTTAGCAGATAG